AATTTGGTCTTTTGTTTTGTCATTTTCCTATATTTCTGTGTTTCAAGTGTTATTTGAAAGCTTCCTCAGGATCTGTTGAAAATCCCCTTCTATGTTTGGAGCTACTGAGACTCTGGCGCCGCGCTACCCCAAGCCATTAGGCCTACAGAACCAGTGGCCCTCCTCTGCCTGCTCAGAACTCCGCAGTTCCAGACAAGCTGGGCCTCAGGGACACTGTGCGCCCACCTGCCCCTTGGAAGCTCCACAGTTCTTCAATCGCAGCCGGGTTAGGGTACTCACCACAGGCCGCAGTGGTTCAGGAACCTGTGGACCCTCCCTTGTTGCAGAGATATCCACAGTCCTCCAGACACATGGAGAGGCCAATGCAGGCACCCCAGATCTGCCCAGCTCCTCCTCTGCAGACCTATGGCCAGGTGCGGCAGCTAAACAGGCTGGGCTAGGCTGGTAGTGTGGGCCAGCCCACCTATCGGGAGCTCAGCAGGTCTCCAAATGAAGCGGGGAATGGGGAGGCTGATGTGGAAGCCTCAAACCCACCTCTCTCCTTCACTGCACCTGGAAGCCTGAGGGAACTCCAGCAGTCTGGGCGCAGATATCCAGAGTCCTCCAGACACGCAGAGAGGCCAGTGAGGGCACCCCAGATCTGCCCAGCTCCTCCTCTGCAGACCTATGGCCAGGCGCGGCAGCTAAACAGGCTGGGCTAGGCTGGTAGTGTGGGCCAGCCCACCTATGGGGAGCTCAGCAGGTCTCCAAATGAAGCTGGGAATGGGGAGGCTGATGTGGAAGCCTCAAACCCACCTCTCTCCTTCACTGCACCTGGAAGCCTGAGGGAACTCCAGCAGTCTGGGCACAGATATCCAGAGTCCTCCAGACACGCAGAGAGGCCAGTGAGGGCACCCCAGATCTGCCCAGCTCCTCCTCTGCAGACCTATGGCCAGGCGCGGCCGGTACATAGTGTTAATATGTAATGAATGCATCTACATTCTGGGGAGTAAGATGTGATACATGTATCACATCTTAATCCTTTTTAGTTTTTAATCCCTTTAATCCCAAGCCCCTTACTCTAGATCCTCATCTCAGTTGCAAAACATCTACTTTCTTGTTTTGTATCATCATTTTTTATTTTGCTTTTTAAATTATCTTTGAGTTTCTCTTCCTTCCTGTTTTCTCTCTCTGTCTCTCTCTCTTTCCTTTTTTGAGATGGTGTTGTTATGTTACATTGCTGAATTTGCTAGTTCAAGGAGTCCTTTGATAGAGCTTTCTGGGTCCACGCATGTTATGTGAGCATAAGGATAGTTTGACGTCTTCCTTTCCTGTATGTATTCCTTTATTTCTTTCTTTGTCTTACCTGACAGTTCTGGCTAAAGTTTCAAGTACTATATTGAACAGGAGCACTGTGAGAGGACAGCCTTGTCTTATTCCTGATTTTAGGGAAAAGCTGAAAGTACCCATTTAGTATGCTGTTGTCAGTAGGTTTGTCATGAATGACTTTGATCAGCTTAAGAAAGATCTTTCCACATTTATTTCCTTCAAGGTTTTTTAAAAAATCATAAATGGATTTGGACCTTGTCAAAGGTATTTTTTGTGCCTATTAAGATGACTGTGTAATTTTTGTCCTGCTTCTGTTTATGTGATATATTTATCTGTTTATGTATGTTGAATTATTCTTGCACACCAGGGGTAAAGCCAAACTGGTCATGATGTAGGACCTTTTTAATGATCTGTTGCATTCTCCTTGCTAGTATCTTGTTGATGATTTTTAGATTTATGTACATTAAAGAGATTGGCCTGTAGTTTTCTTTTCTTGTTTATTATTTCTTTGCTTGTCTTGTTGGATTAGGGTAATGAAAGCTTCCAAGTATGAGTTTGGCTGTATTCGTTCCCTTTCAATTTCATTGATAAGTTTGAGGAGTATGGTCTTAGACCTTCCCTGAAGTTCTCGTAGAATTCTGTGGTGAATCCACTAGGTGCTGGACTTTTCTTACTTGGCAGATATTTTTATTATTGCCTCAATGTCATTATTTTTATTCTTCAGTGCTTTTATATCCTCTTGGCTCAGTGCTGGTAATTCACGTGTGTCTAGAAAACGTCATTTCTTCTATATTCTCCAATTTACTGGAGTACAGGTGTTTCAAAGCAGTACTTGTAATCTGGATTTCAGAGGACTCTATTGTTATCTCAGCTTTTTTATTTTTAATTGCATTAATATGGGCTTTTTCTTTCCATCGTGTTTTCTGTGCATCGTGTTTAGTTTTTTGAAGAACCAGTTATCTGATTCATTGATTCTTTGAATTTTTAAAAATTTTCAATTAAAATGTCTTGATTTCGATATAAAGGATGTAAAATTTACTGTTGAGTGTACTGTTCAGCAGTGTTAAATATATTCACATTGTTGTGTAGCAGATCTGGAAACCTTTTCCATTTTGCAAAACAGAAAGTTCAAGACTCTTTATTTCTTCTCTTCTGCCCCTGAGAACCAGAATTCTAATCTTTGTTTTTATGAATGCGACTACTTTAGATACATTAACATAAATGTAATCCTACAGTATTTATTTTTTGTGTCACTTGTTTACTTTACTTAGCATAATGTTCTCAAGGCTCATGTATAATACATTGTAACCTGTGAAAGATTTCCTTCCTAGTCAAATAATATCACATTACATGGATGTATCACAATTTTGTATCTATTACTCAGGTTGTAGGCATTTGAGTTTCAGTTATTAGGAAATATGTTATTAGGAAAGATGTTAAGAAGAGTTGTATACAAGTTTTTGTGTAGAAATATATTTTCATTTGGTATGTGTACACTGTAGGTGTGGAACTTCTGGGTCATATGATAACACAGTAGTTTGCTTTTTTGGGAACGCCTAACATGTTTTCCAACAGCAGTGTATGATGGCTGCAATTTCTCCATATTCTGGCCAATACCTGTTATTGTCTAATTTATTATGATGGTCATCATAATGAATGTGAAATGGTATCTCCATTTTTTTTTTTTTACACTTTCTTACTGACCAGTGATTTCATATTTATTCTTTAAAGGGAAAAAGGAAGGGAATAGGTCCCAAACTAGTAGTTTTTCTCTCTGTTATGGTGAAATCAAGGTAACAGGGAAATGGATTAAGGGAAGGTTATTAGGACTGCTGAGGTACAATCAATATTACCACTGTTGACGAGAGCACAGCTATATAACTTAGAGCTAACATTGCCAATCACTGTACCAAGTGCTTTTACATATTTTATCTTCCTTAACAACACTTGACACAACCACACCTCATATCTATGAATAGCTCCTTCATAAGCATCCTTGTAAAGTTCCTCCAAGAGAGATCACACCTTTTGATCTCTGGTTACTTCGATATCAAAACTTTTATTCCCTATATGTATCGTACATAGCTGTTCACTCCCTCTGTTTTACTCTAGAAGGGTCAGTTCTGAGACTCCTCTTTGTTTTTCTGGTTGACAGGCAGTTTTACTCAGATATTCACCTTAAGTGTTAATTTCTGCCCTGGGCACACTTCCTGTCACTTAGGAACTGCATACCAAATACTTGAGTGGATTATCTTCTACACTAGACAGTTCTTACGCAGAAAGTCTGAGTCAGTGCATATGCAGCTTGTTTCAGTCTTTTCCTTATCAGAGAGATGTGTTCAGACAGGGCCGTGGATCATAGCAAGTCCACCCTCTGTGGTCCATTGGCTCACTGTGAAAGGTCAAGAATGACAGCTGTGGAAGTCAGTACAGAAGGCCAATGAGAAGGGTTGAAATGACTGATGTGTCAGATCTGAGTGTCCTGCTCTAAGAAACTTGTTAAGGTGAGCTGGTATTAGGTCTGAATGCGAGTGTGTTAAAGTCAATGCTTAGTTGCCAATGTTGGTAGCATCCATGTTTTTGATTACTAATTATTGCATTAGCCGTTCAATGTTGAAACTATTCTGTTCAACCAACAAGTGATAATTTTAGTTATGTCACTTAAACTCCTCTCATGGGTTCACTACAAGTTTATTCACTTTCACTTAGACTTGCAAGCCCACGACTGATAGACGGTCTCTTCTCTCTGAGTGGATAATACCAAGATAGCATATGCACGTTTTGGGGGCAACAGAAGAAAAAACTAAATAAATGTAGACATTATAAGGAGCTTTTCATTTTGGTGTATAACTATTGTGTGATTGTTCAACCAGAAACCTAATTCATGGTAGTGTAACAACATAATCATATCATTACTAGTGAAACCATGGAAACAACCAAGTCTGGTTCAGTGTTCAAATAGAAATTAAAGGTTCAGCTCACAAAAGAAATATCAAACGATCAGCTCAGTTACGATTTCTGAGCAGATATTCTCATACCAGTGAGGCTAGGTTACAGCTTTTTGCAGTTAAATACCAGTTGGACTGGTTGCACATTCCACATGATGCAGTACTTTTCAGGGAATAAAGATAATGAGGAAGTGACATTCTGCCTCACCCACAGGTGTGTACACAGGAGTGCAATGTTTGAATTTGGCTGTAGGTTAAAAATCAGAAGTGAGCTACCCCTACAAGAAGAATAAACCTCATCTATTAATGGCAGAATATGATAGGCAGTGATATAAAGAAAATAGTAAAAATATGCTGCAGTTATGAGAAATAGAAAAGACATTCTAATCATAATCTTCCATTAAAAGGTAAAAAGTGATGTTTAAAAACTTTTCCCACATTTTTGTGATTAAAATTTTGTAAATAGTGTGGAGACTTGGTAGATTCTTCTGCTTTATGAGAAGGACATATAAATTGCTAGTAACATTTTATCTTCTCTGGCGTTTTTGAACTTGTTATTGATCCTGGGTTTGGGGGAATAAGTATTGAAATATTGATACGTGAGTAAGTATAATGTATATTTTTGTGGAGTTGTCTAGAGATATCTATAACTGTTATGTGAAGCTTACAAACCTGCTAAAGTTGAGCACACATTTTGGTAGACTCACCACCGATATCTATTCAAAAACGTTTTTCAGACTGAGAAGCAGAGCGTAGTATTGTTATTGATGATTATAAACAATACCAAAGAGAGATTCATTCTTCGTAGGTTTCATTTTTGTCTCTATTTTTTATCATTTTCTGTACCTAAGAAAAATGAAAAAGACTTTTTCTACTTGCAATCTTGGTATACTTAAAATTACTGTACCTTGTGGGGTTTAAGTATGTAGAGATTTTAAAATAAAAACTTCTAGTATTGAATGGGTACAAATAATTTAGAATTTTCTAAGTGAAGGATGTATGTTGGGAACCATTAAAAATATAAGTGGCTATATTTTGTAAGATACTGTAATGATAGATATATTCCATACATATTTGTCAAAATACACAGGACATATAATGCGAGAGAATACTAAACTATCAGTGTTAGTTAGCAATATTATATCAATATTGGCTCACCAATTCAAGCAAATGTACCACATTAATGAAAAATATTCATAATGGGGGAGGTTAGAGTTGGGGGATTCAGGAAGTGGTGAAAAGCTAAACAAATTCATTGTACTTTCTGCTTAATTTTTCTGTTAGCCTAAGATTGCTTTCAATTTAAAAATTTCATTAATTTAAAAAATACCCCAATAAAAAACAAAGAAGCGTATACAATTTCTAAGCTAAAGGAGGGAAAAATGTTGTGTAAAAGAAGGTGAAATAGAACAGATAGGGCACATAACACCTAGAAAATAAGAGATTTAAACAACATTTTTAATTATATCTAAAAGCTTAAAAGCTTTACAGACGAGTAATAATGACAAAAAGTAAAGCTCAATTCTATGCTATTTATAGAAATACAACTACAGCTTAAGGACAGAGAATGTTTAAAAGTAGTAAGGATGGAAAAGAGATACCATTTATAAATTAACTAAAGTAAATTTAATATACTGTTGCAAAAATGTGCTTTTTAATGAAAAAATTCATTTTCCAGAAAGATATACAAACTCTAAGTTTCTATGTTCCTAGTAACGTAACTACAGACAGATACAGACAGCAAGAATCAACAGAACCAGAGCAGACAGGCAGATCACAATTGTATTAGAAGGTTTGAACAACATGTGTAGGAAGCTGGACTTAATGGATCTATTCAGAACCTGTCCCAATAATCACGAAGTAAACTTTTTTCCAAATCCATGTAATTCATTAAAAATAATGGACTGCATACATTTCCATAAACCAGTTTAACACATTGGAAAGATTTGACAATATCTAGTGTCCATGAGCAAAATGCAATTGACTTTAAAACAGAAAGCCAACTGCAAAATCCTGGATCTAATAATTTATGTAAATAAAATGAGGTTCAAAAAATCATAAATTGAAGAAGTAATCATAATGAACATTATAAATTATTCTGAACTAAATAAAATAGCAAATTTAAATTTGTGATAAAGCTTTAAATATATAAATATATATTTTATATGTATTTCCTGTATGCAGTGTCAGATACTTTAAAATACAAACAGCAACTATACATTCTGGACAAAATACAATCCTGTCTGCTAAACAAATGAAAACAAAACAACCCACATTGTTTGAAGGCTCTGGGGACTAAACAAAGGCAGGATGATTTTGAGGGGAGAGTGTAAACCTGGAGCAGGTAACCCACATGGAATGAGCTCCCTATTTTAAAAACTTTGACACAATGACAGTCACAGCCACAGTCATGGAAGTTCAGGAAAACCCACTGATGGAAAACCCACTGTCTGCAGGTGGAAAAACCGGGATGGAGGAGTAGCCTAGTCAGATGTGGCCAGATGCTGATGAGTGATGGGGAACTCTAAAACAGAGGAGCTTCCTCAGTTCTGAATATGAACCCTGCACAAATCTCCAGCTGGCACTTGAAACATGTTGTAATAATACAGGTTGAAAACAGTGTACAAAAGCTTGAAGAATTCATATAAGATATGGCCCAGGGATCATGGCGAGATAGAGCTTACAGTTTGAATCTAACCATGTTAACATCCAGCTAAAATAAAAATATCAGTATTCATCAGAGGAACATGGCAGAACTCTGTCTGTACAACACTATGTTCAAAACATCCAAGATTGCCTAAAATTATCTTATTCATAGAAAACACATAAAATACAATTCATTCTAAATGAAGAAGAAAACCAACAGATGGCAACTCAAAGATGATACCATTATTAAGGTGACAGACCATGACTTTAAAGCAGCTGTGGTAACTTTGTTCAGTGAGGTAAGTGAAAACTCAGTGAAGATGAAGGTAAGTGCAGCAAACACCAGACGAGAAATACAAAATAGAAAAACAAACCACATAAAAATTTATCACTGAAAAATAATTTTTAAAAAGTCATTGGTTGAGTTTAATAGAAATGTATAGACAGTAGAGGATTCAGTGAACTGAAAAAAAATAAAGACAAAGAATTATTTCATTGGAAGAAGAGACACAAGTTGAGTCCATGAAGAGGGCATCGAGAATCTGGGGTACTAACCAAAGGTCTAACGAAGGGTTGTGTGAATTGTTAAAAGAGAAGGGAAAAAGTGAGAAAATGGAACAGAAAAATATATGAAGAAATGAGGGAAGACAATTTCCAAATTGTGGTTAAAGAAATAAATTTATAGAATCAAGTAGCTCAGCGAATTCCCCAAAAGGGTCAATATCAGTAAGCATCATGATCAAATTCCTGGAAACTTAAGATTAAAAAGATCATGAAGGCAGCCAGAGAAAACTGACATCTTACATACAGGGGAACATCAATCTGGACAAATGCAGACTCTCAGATATTACAAAGATTAAAAGGTACAGAAAGCACATTTTTAAAGAGTTGGGAGAAAATAATTAAATTCTGTATGCAGCAAAACTGCTTCATAAGAATGAAAGTAGAATAACTTTCAAATGAAGGAAAATAGTGTTTCTTGCTAAGAGTCTCACAATACTAGATATTCTAAAAAAAAACATTATCAAACTAGAGAAAAACAATTCCAGAAAGAAACTAGAAGTTCATCAATTAATGAAGAGAATTAAAAATATCAATCATCTGAACAAATGTAAAAAATAGTTTTCCTTTCACATTTTTCAAACACAAGATTAAAATAAACATGATTTTTACTGCCTTGAGGCCCTTTTCAGTTGTGTAGAAAGTTAATCTCTGGCAGTTTAACATCAAGGGTTGTAAGAAGGAAGTAAAATACGTATATTCTTGTGAAGGCTCTTTCTTTTATGTGAAATGGGACAATATTAACTCTAAGGGTTCTATAACATGTTAAGGGTACATAGAGTAATTCCTACAGAAATCATTAAAAAATTAGAAGTATACCTACAAAGCTAACAGATTAATTAAACAAAATACTAAAATGATCCAAATAATCCAGAGAAAACGAAATGATAGAATTTTACAAAACAAAACAAACAAAAAACAAAAGATTTAAATTCAACTATATTGATACGTAGGTTAAATGTTAACATTCTGTACAAGGGATTCACAAACTTTCTAAGAAAGTGCTGATCATACACATTTGCAGAATATACATAATAAGGTACTTTCATCTTAAATTAGGAAATTATAACTGTAGGATATATTAGGTTTTGTAGTAACTACAACAAAAACCTCTAATAGATTTATAAAATACAAAAATAATCAAAGACCATCACTACAAAATTCAATATTACAAAACATGTACCTAGAAATCACTAAAATTAACAGAATATCAAAAATCTTTGTCCATCCTCTGTGACCTTGATACATGACTTGCTTCCCAATTTGATCCCCATTTAACCAATATTATATAAGCAACAATAGTTGTAATCTTATTGTTTGACCATAGTTTTACCCTACCTCACAGCTGTCCTGTGATTTTCCACTGGATCAATATTACCTAAGCAACTAGACTTATAATCTTATTGGTTGGTTACAGTTTTGGTCCCATCTTGAACCTGGCTCACTTTGTTGCTTAGCTCAGTGAAACACCCTTGAAAAGTGGGGTGGTAGGCAACCCACTTGCCAGGCCCCCTTCTGTCTCTCTTAAAAGAAACTTTCTTTCATTCAATAAATTATTCCTACCCTAAGAATGAAACAAAAAACAATAGTAAATTGCTAAATTTCCCTAATTTTTAAAAATGTAAATGGATTAAATTCTCCAAAAGACAGTCAATGAATAGATTAACATACAGGATGCCTACAAAGAGACCAACTTTAGCCTTAAAGACATGCAGATAGATTGAGCAAAGATGGCAGATAGATAACAGCAGGCTACAGAGGCTCCCAGAGATAGTCAACTTAGAATTCAACATAATACAGCATGGGGAGTCCCAAACAGAGGGAGATGAATTCTCTCATCCCAAGAAGAAACTAAGGTGAGAAGAACCAATCAAGCATATAGTCCCAGTGCTACTACTGGAACAGCTAAAGGTTCAGTGGGTTCAGTGCTTCTGCTGCAGTGCCCAAAATTTCATGGTGGTGACTTAACGAGCTGTCCAAAATCCTGCCACGTCAAAGCACTGAAAATGCAGTCACACTGAGGTCAGGGGTCAGCAAGCCAAATGGAGAGCTGAGCTAGTGAGGATCCTGCATTGACCTGTGCTGAGTGATGGGAATAAAACCATTCCACAAAGGAAGGGGCTCCAACAGATGACATTCTGGGACCAGGCAGGACTGGCAGGAACAAGGGGCAGTAGTGACTTCAGTCAGTTGTTCCCTTCCTGAAGGGGATTGGTGGAATGAGCTTGGCCAGGGTCACGCGACCTGGCTGAGACCCAATAGGTTGGTTATCCAAAATCAATTCCCTATGGCGGCAGTGCACACTAATACAGTGAAGGCCTCAGCAGGTTGAATGATCTGGAGGGGAGGGGCAGCATATGCAATTCACTAGCACACTGCAATGGGAAGGATCCAATAAGATTACATCTAGCCAGTGTGCTTCAGGAGATTTTTAAACAAAAAAGAAAGAAACTGGGGCCTCCTGGAAGAAACAAACAAACAAAAAAAAAAAATGGAAAGAGGAAGCAATAACAAAAAGTCCCCAGGTCCCAACCCTGAGAACACTGACCCAGGACAGGTAAATAGAAAGGAAAATGAGGACAGCAAACATGCAATATCAGACACAGCACCAGTGGACATAAAGAGATATCTTTGGGGCC